CTCCAGTTCCATCCACTGTTGAAACGGATCAGCGGCTGATTCCAGGAAGCCGGGGGCAGAGCAACTCTGCCAAGGGCTTCCTGTAGTCAGCCTCTGATCAGTTCAGCAGCGGCTGAATCGGGAGCCAGTTCCGACTTACATACAAATTCAACTTAAGAACAAACCTATAGTCCCTATCTTGTACGTAACCCGGGGACTGCCTGTAGTAAGAAAATGAGAGAGCATCTTACTGTGGGTTCCCATTGGAGTCGGTTGACACGTGCTGAGCAGCCCCAGGTTTCATTGACATTCTTCAGAGTTGAGAGCATTTGGTACCTTTCAGGATCTAGCTATTAGTGAGGTCAAATTTGGCTGTTAAAAGGGTGCAGAGAAGAGCGACAAGAATGATTAAAGGTTTAGAGAACATGACCTATGAAGCCAGGCTTCATGAACTGGGCTTGTTTAGTTTGGAAAAAAGAAGATTAAGGGGGGACATGATAGTGGTTTTCAAATATCTAAAAGGGTGTCACAAGGAAGAAGGAGAAAATTTGTTCCTCTTGGTTACTGAGGACAGGACAAGGAGTAATGGGCTTAAAGTGCAGCAGGGGAGGTTTAGATTGGACAGTAGGAAAAAATTCCTAACTGTCAGGGTGGTCAAATATTGGAATAAATTGCCAAGTGAGGTGGTGGAATCTCCCTCTGGAGATATTTAAGAACAGGTTAGATAGACATCTGTCAGGGATGGTGTAGACGGAGCTTGGTCCTGCTTTGAGGGCAGGGGGCTGGACTCGATGACCTCTCGAGGTTCCTTCCAGTCCTATTATTCTATGATTCTATGCACCCTTAAAATGAAGTGCTGTGAGTGCAAACATATACAGAATTTGCCTCACCTAGTACACTGTCCCATCAAATCAAACATAAGCTTTTGGTTTGTTTGCTTTTTGAACTGCTTCTTTATCGTTGGAATTTAAATACCAATCAACAGTGTCTAGCCTGTTTTTACTTTGCTATTTGTATCTCGCGTCTTCCTATTTAGAGGGCTTCTGAAGAATGTAAATCTTGAGTTCTCTCAAAGGCATTGTAGTTTCTTATTTCAGTAGGCATCTGGACAACACAAATTGTTACACGTATCCCCTCTAATGCTATAGTTGCTTCAGAGAAGTTCTGTCATGAAAAAAACAAAAATCCTGTGGAATATTCAGTAGTGTTAGATCTTGGTAACAAATGCATTTACTCATCCTACTTAGTGCTTAGCTCAGTACATCTTCAGAATACTGTCCGAATATCGGCTAGTCTTTAAGCACTCTCAAGGCACATGGGGTATAACACCTATTTTATAAGTGAGGAAATGGAAGCAGAAGGTTTGAAGGCAAGAATGCGAATACTCAGCTGGTTAACCCACCATGATGGCCCACCACAGGCAGGGGCTGCTCTGGCAGGCCCAACCTGGGCAGTGTGCCACAGGCAGGAGCTGCTTCAACTGGCCAGAGCAGCCCTTATCTGGGATGAGAGGGCTGCGCCAGCCAGGCTGTGGCCTACTTGTCTACCCCACTTTCAACATATTTAACTGGTTAACCAATTATTGGGATTTGACATCCCTGGTGGAGGGCACCGAAATAGCATAAGTCAGAGGTGAATGATAGGAGTGCCTGACTCTTTAGTGTCTATGTTTACAGTACTAAATATTTCAGGTTGGGGGAAAAAAAAAAACCTTTTAATGTGGGAACTTCTGCCATCATGGCCAATTGACTCTTGCCATTGAAATCCTGAATGGTGGAGCCTGGACAATTCAGCCTTTGTTTTTGCTTACCCCAGTCCTGTGTGGCTCTTTAAAGGACACAGTTTGTTTGTTTTTTGGATTGTTCATTGTCCTGGCTGCAGAATTCATTGTTTTAAGTGGGTAGTCAGCACAGTCTTTGATCTGGCTTTCCCATGTTATTCCTGCAGGCATGGACGCAGCTGAAGAACAAGTGCTTTTTTCTGGGATTGGGGAGAGATGTTCCACACACAGACTCGTTCTGCTGCTAGATTTTTCATCTGACCTCAGAAAAATAAAAGTAGTGAGATTGCAGGGCCTGAGAAACTTTAAAACTGGGAAACCCTTAAGGGAGTAATACATCTTCCTTGTCTCCATCCCTTAGTCTCTTTTGAAAGTCTCAGCTTCTGTGTTTAAATTCTCTATCTTTAAATTGAGGCATGTCTTTTCTCACATCTGTGGGCCAGAATTTCCCCTCCCCTGTTTTAAAGGATTCATCCAACTGCTCCCAGCTTCAAGGTGGAACCTGCTGCTCCTCCCCTTTCATATCAAACTAATTCCTATAGACCAGAAGAAGACCTTCCTCAATATTATCACATCTTTGTTTTCAAATACACGTCTAAATTTAATAGTCTTTTAATACACTTGATGTAAGGTGTTAATTGTTCTATAAGTTTGGTGACAGTTCTGTGCATTGAATGAAGGTGGTATACAGTCCGCAATTCTTAAGAAAAGCTTTTAGAAGTGATTCTCAAGGCATCATAGAAAGTCTTACAAAGGTACAAGAACTTAAAGAGCACCACGAAGGAATTTTCTCATGTTTTAAAAAAGGATTTATTTAATTGTTGTGGAGTAATAACGCAATCCAGAACTCAAAAAGGAAAGCCTTTTTCTTGCTAAATGTTCCCTACCTTCTTCTCCCTCCACCTTTCAGTTGTGTGCATGTTGGTTTTGGGCCTTGTTATAACTGGCTAAAACTAGCCTTACAAGTAGTAGTAGTATTATATGAATATTAAAGGAATGTTAACACTGCTCAGATTTGACTTAAATTTCCATGTTTAATGCCAAATTAGGCAGATCCTAAAATACCCAAATGATGCTGAAATTTTAGAACATTTGAGAATTTTTATTCTGTTCATATGTAGGTTTTTATACTGCACTGACCATTATAGTATAAGCATTCTGGTTGTGTGAATTCCAAATAAGAAGCTTGGATTTAAAAATAAGGTGTCAGTTACTATTGAAGCCTGCAGTAATGTTCGGTTATGATATTTGAATACCTAAGCAAAAGCTGACTTTTTCCCCCTCATTTTCCCCCCTTGATTTACTACTGCTTTCCTGGTTTTACAGGTCACTTTTGTATACCACAGAAATGCTGATCCAAGCATGTTGGTCATTGCCACCTGTAGTTACTTGTATAAGCAGCCAGTGAAAATAAACTTTCAATAGCAGTCCTGTAGACTTGATGATGTGCCAAAAAACACATGCATGATTCCTGACCCCTTGTACTATAACAATAACATGACACACTACCACTTTTTTGTTTATTGCTAGACTTCTTACATAGCTACTGGACCATGGTGGAAGTAACATGAAAGGGCTGAGTCTTGTAAATATTGGCCTAGTCATCCCTCTCAGTATGTGTGAAAATGGGATGGGGGAGGAAATATCTTGGCACTTGATATCCCAAAGAAAGAAGGCATTGTAAGTACTGAGAGATGAAAAATCAACAATAAATCATTAAAGCAGGCTGGGCAAACAACTTCATCTACAGCCATGGCTTTTTTATGTCTCTAACCTCAAAGTCCTCATCTTGCATCTTTTGTAATTATTGGAGGATGAAGTACGTTGTCTTTCATGTAAGGGAACTGATTACAGAGCTCTCTAAAGGTAAATTTAGGGATTATGCTACAACCCATT